TTTACACCCTCATCGATATAAGTTAGATAGTTTAGGAGGCAGGCTTCTAACCTTTTCGCAGTGTCAGGGCCAACCTGGTCCGAGAGGGATTGAACATCCCAGCAGAAAGACCCGGATACTCAATAAGAATTTCCTCTCCAATCAGGAATCGAACTCGGGTTTCCTGTGTGCGACGGGGAAGCGTCTAATTGATGTGTGTCTCGTGTGACATTTTTGTCAGGGTTTCGTGTGTCATGTGTCATATGTGTTATATATCATTTGTGTTAGCCCAACCCATCTGATAATATGTTTAATATGTCATGTTTTAAATGGCCTCCGCGCTAGCAAAATGGCACATCTCATTTTTTGCTACTTTTGAGATAAATCAAATGGAAAATGACTGGTGAACTAGACTATTTATCATCTTATAAAGATAAAACTTGCCACGCATATTGCTTTTGTGACTGCCTGCACAATTTTTTTTTCTGGTTCTCCCGAAAGATAAATATAGTACCGCCAAACAAAAGAAAAGGCCAGTTTCGCTTTGGCACGGCTGTGAGTTATGCCCTTCTGCTAGTGCAGTGACGATGTGTGCCTTGTATCCTTTCTGTCAGCTAAACTTGGTGGGTGGTTGGCGGGTGCTCTGGTGTGGTTTGCTCCTTCTTTCCTATCAAACATCTATCGTCTTTATCTCTCCTCCTTCTTTTTTGTGTTTATTACTCCCGTGTAACACCTCTAATCTTCAGCATTATATGACCTTATTGTGTTTCTTGCACCGTAAGACTCGTACCCCCCAAAAAAAGCCAAACTTGTTTGATGTGTCATTTGTCATATGTGTCGGGGTTTTGTGTCGTGTGTCATATATTATTATGTGTGTCAGCCCAACCCATCTGATGTATCATATGTCGTGTGTCAAACATCATTTATGTCAACTCAACCCATCTGATGTATCATTTGTCATGTGTGTCAAACATCATTTATGTCAACTCAACCCATCTGATGTGTCATATGTGTCCTGTGTCATGTGTCAGGACCTGTGTTCATGGGTGAACATCCCCGTGTACGATTTCAAGCTCAGACTGCAGAGAGGGGACCGCGAGCTGCCCATGTGGCCACAAGACTTGCTACAACAACCAGAGGAACACTGCTACCCTCTGGGTGAGTGTGTATGTGTGTGTGTGTGTGACTGTGTGTGTGTGTGTGCGTGCGCGCGCGCGAGCGCGCGCGTGTGTGTGTGTGTGTGGCGAGCTGCCCATGTGGCCACAAGACTTGCTGCAACAACCAGAGGAACACTGCTACCCTCTGGGTGTGTGTGTGTGTGTGTATGTGTGTTTGTGTGTGTGAGACTATATGTGTGTGACTATATGTGTGTGGGTGTTTCAGTGTGTGCTTGTGTGTGTGTTTCTGTGTATGCCTGTGTTGTTCATGTGTAGTCAATGATGACACTGTGTTGTTGGTGTGTTACATGTGTTGTTGGTATGTAGTCAATGCTGACATGTGTTGTTGGTGTGCAGTCAATGATGACACACTGTGTTGCTTGTGTGTAGTCAAAGATGACACTGTGTTGTTGGTGTGTAGTCAATGATGACACGTGTTGTTGGTGTGCTCCCACAGGTGGTGTGTCACTCAACGTGCTCCGCATGGATGCGTCCTTTGTCAAGGTCAACTTCCCTGATGTCGCCTACACTAAGGGAGCCTATCTGGTCTACCCTCCCTATGACAAGGTGGGGGGTTGAGGGGGGGGGGCATTGGTGCTTCTCCTCATCTCTCTCTCTCTCTCTCTCTCTCTCTCTCTCTCTCTCTCTCTCTCTCTCTCTCTCTCTCTCTCTCTCTCTCTCTCTCTCTCTCTCTCTCTCTCTCTCTCTCTCTCTCTCTCTCTCTCTCTGTCTCTCTGTCTGTCTGTTTGTCTTTCTCTTTCTCTCTCTGTTGATTTCTCTCTCTTTCCCACACACACACACAAACACACACTCATACACACACACACTCACACACACACACACTCACAATCATGTCTTCCTTAAATTTATCTTTGTATCTGCCAGTTTTTCTTTGTCCGTGTACAATGATCGGGATATGTTTCCCTGTTGTGGGTGGTTAGTGAGTGCTCTGGTGTAGTTTGCTCCTTCTTTCCTATCAAATCCAACATCTATTATCCTTATCTCTCCTCTTTCTTTTTTGTGTTTATTACTCTTTTGGTGGCCTATAGACCTAGACTGACTGGTCACTGTTCGCTCAATTAGAAATGCTATAATTTTTTTCTAATCTTCCGCACTTATATGACTTTATTGTGTTGCAAGTGCTGAAAAACGCCTCCATGTTCTCCCTGTGTGGGTGGTTGGCTGGTGCTTTGGTGTGGTTTGCTTCTTCTTTCCTGTCAAACATCTAATAATAAGAAGAAGAATAGATAGCAATTGTATAGCGCGAATCCCCTCTCAACAGCAAGCTCTATGCACTTCACAATCTATACTTTTACCCCAGCACACCTGAGAGCATTCTGAAACAATCTCAACTTCCTGGGAAGCATACAGTGCTGGCCTGCCATTTATGGGCTCTGAAACACTAACATTCTGACAAGATCTCTCCTCTTTCTTTTTTTGTGTTTGTTACCCTCTTCTAACACCTCTAATCTTCAGCACATGTATGACCTTATTGTGTTGGAAGTGCCGTAAAATGCTTTCTATAACGAGTTTCCATGTTCTCCCTGTGTCCTCAGTTTTGTGCTGTGTCTATCACGTTGTTCGTTATGCTCTCTTCATTGGTCTAAAGCCTGAAGTGGCGTCAGTAGCTCAGTGGTTAGGCTTCCGGACCCGTTCTTGTGAGATTGCGAGTTAGGGGGTTCGGGTCTCAGCTCAGCCTGATGGTGTGTCCTTGGGAAAGGCTCTTTACACGAATGTCCCTTTTGGCTTTGTTCTTTTTGGAGATGGACGTTAAATTCGTAGATCCTGCCTCTTGAAATAACTTTATAGTGTTGGTAGGAGCATTAAGCCTAGCCCATTTCACCGTTTTCCAAAGCTTGACCGTTTTTGTGTCGGTTTCTTCTCCCCGCAGGTTCTGGAGTGTGCGTCAGAGAACATGGTGTCCGACGGAGAGGTGGGATCTCCGGTAGGT